GTATAGATTGTTATCAAAGATCAAAGCTTTTAAAGGGAAAAAAAAAACAAGGTATTATTTTTTAAATAATAAGTTGGAACTGATCTTGACATGCTAGGTTCTGGTTTTAAAGACTTGGAATCAACCCCTACAACGTGGATTCTGGTTTCAAAGACTTGAAGCTAATCTCTACAAGATAGATTCCAGGTTCTGCCTTGAACGGAACCAAACTGATCAGTGTTCACTGTATTTAAGGTTCAGTTTGGAAGGAGTATAAATACAAATATATAGAGTGCAAAATCTTATATTTTATATTATTTTATATGTATTTATATTGTACATATTTGCATTTGTATTCTTTTCAAACTGAGACTAAGAATTAATCACCTTTAGGCAGGAATACGAGATCTGTGATCCCATCTGTCTCCGTTTGTGTTTACTGGTAAATGGTCTTTATAAGATTATCTTGTGGAATGGTTGAAAAGAGAAAAATACTTGATGCCGGGCATAGAAAGTTCCTGCACCATTATACTGATCAATCGATCTGAGTCATACTTTCTACTATTTGGAAATAACTCTCTACCCCTCTAAGACTTTGATCAAGCGGGAGTCCTGCAATGTTTTCTTTGTATGATGCATGGCATAGAAATCAATGTAGATTTTGGCTAATATAAAACACGTACTGATGTGGTGTAAACAAGAATGGGTTGAGGCAGCATTCGAAAGTAATAACAGTTTCTTGATCAAAATTTTAACACTTGCTTCAACCGATGAAAGTAGAGCAGTGCTGAATGAAGTTATTCCACTGTTCCATATGCTGCCATACCACATCTGGAAAGCACATGCATTCAAACAATCAATGCATGATTGAGGTGAAATGCAATTTAGATGAATATTTTATCAAATTGTGAATGGACAAAGAAACAGAAACAGGTTCACTATTCTGCGATGGCACTGCATTGTTATTGATACTGCTCGATTCAAGGTGGTGCACGAATCATGTCACTGTCACATAATTTTCATCTACAAGGCAGAGTTGAGGTGGAAGGTTGAAGTTATGCAATGAGATTTGTGATCAAAAAAGATGTCAAAGGCTTGAGGAGTTATCCTTGGGTAAGCATTCCGATACTTAAGCCAGTAGAAAGTGGTGGATGGTCGAGCCGAATAATAAGAGTGCTGGTACGAGCAAAGTAATGTCTGGGTTCTAGAAGTTCGAATCCCTTACCTTGAGCAGGAGATACTTTTTTATAGCCGAAGGTCCGTGTCCTAATCGGATTGGACTTCCAGGGCTGCCGGGACAAGATTAACCACCAAGGTCTTCGGGAGAGTCCTAATCCCTAGCGGAATTGTCCCCATCCTCTCCTGTTCTTGATCGCACTTATCCGCATGACGTGAAGTTGACGTGACTGGGAAGATAAGATGGGGGCTATAGAAGTAACGTATCACGGTCATAGTCACGGAGACGATGTATGCCGCGGAGCTGATAGGGCGGTGCCGACATGGCCGAAGTGACTGGATAGTGACTGGGCGATCACATGGTGTAGAAGGCGAGCTCAACCATGACCGGAGCAGTTATTTCAGTTGTATTTTCTTTTTAATCGTCCAAACTGATTCTGGGTTTCCTATATGTTTTCTTCTTTTCCATGTTTGTTTGTTGTATCTTTCTTTTTCAAGATTTAGATTTCTGACAACAACAGTGAAGCAATGCACAAGCAGGTGAAGTGTTGCAGGAAGCTCGATTACGCCTTACGAGGTATGCATGCAGCTGGAGATCTAGCCGTCCAAATCCTCAATCAATCTTCTCCATGTTTGTGTTGAAGAGAGCAAAGCAATAAGCAAACTGCCAATACAGTGGTTGCTACGTACAGAGAGAAGGAAAAAACAAAAATCGTGTTCTCAGTTCTTATGTGTTTCTACATCAATTTATAGCAGAGAGCGGCTAAGCAATTGGCAGCTTTTACTGGACAAGTCTCACGCGTTTGCTGCATGCGTCACCCTCTCTTCAATTCTACAAATCCCTATCTCAACCATACGTACTGTGATCATGTAATGGATTTTTGTATCACTGCAAATGAATTTGCACTTCAACCAAACACAGCCGGAAAAATGCATCAACAAACTCAAGTGCATCCTTCGAGAATTAATAGAGAATTAGAGATAAAAGAAAGGATTCTACTTGGTTCCCCTCCTCGATTTCCTCCTCTACAGTCCGGTCCAGTGGTCCCTTTTTAGTACATAAGGTAATGCTTGTCATAGTGAAAGAAAATAATAAGAGGGCATAGAGTCGTCCAACTTCTCATCTAGTTTCAACATTTCAGATTTTAAGTAGTGGGTGCCATATAAGTCATTCTTATATATTTGAGCAGGGCAACTATAAAAAAAAAAAAAAAGAAATCAAATCTCTTCTTAATTACATAAAACTTTTTCAAATGTTTTGCCCCCCTCGCTTATAGGAGATCTGATTCAGTTTTAACAAGACCATACTCACACCGCTCGCACAGCCTTTAACAGCTATGTATTGAAAATATGTCTATATATTTGTATGCTTTTTTTATGGGGAGATATTCTCAATGCAAACTGAAAGAAACTATGCAAATAGTGCGAGTTTGAGCACGGTTTTGTGAGGAGCAAATCCAATTTCCACTATATAGACAGACGGGACTACTCCTCACACATGGGCGTCTCACAGATACATCCACGTGTATTGGAAACATCCTTCAAGAATAATAATTTGTGAGTATAGGAGATGTTTTTAATGAATGATAAGATGTATGTATGAGGTTGGTGTGAAGTACCCTCTGTGAGGAGATATTTTCGATGAATGATAAGATGTATTTGTGAGCTCGGTGTGAAGTACCCTGTGTGAGAAGATCCGATCTCCTACGTAGATTTGCCCCTAAATAGATTCCTTATTGACTTCTCCGGCGTTACTCATCACTCTTTTTTTTTAAGCCCACTACTCATCACTAGATTGACAAGCAGCAAATTTTGCTGGTGTTGTGATCTAGATAAATAAGATTTCAATGCAATTGAGTGTCATTTGACGACACTGAAGGGCCATTTGCTGACAGCTAAAATGGCTGAACTTGAAAAGCTTCTTGTTCATCCTTTTTAGTGAATAAGTTTTTAAGGAAATTATGGACTCCTTAATGGCTGGAGCTGATGTTGGGTAGATCACCGTACCCTTGAAAAAAATATTATAATATTATTAATTATTTTTTCAACTGAAAAAGCAAAGCAATATGTCTTTCAGTTCAACGATTTCAGCCGTCATCTGAACCAGAAAGAGGAAGCAAGACCCTTTCCGGTCCGATGCCTGTTTCTCAAAATGATTGTTAATTGAGTACAAACCGGACATGAAATAAAAGGTTGGGAGCAGGTTTTCTGATCTATTAACTTATAAGAGAGAAAAAGTTTTCCGATTTGGTCAAAATAAATCTAGGGATAAGTGAAAATAAGTGTACTGCAATTCATCCGAGAAATCTGAAATTGTAGCTTTCTCTTAAGTCTATCAGTAGCCTCTTATAAACTATATCTTGTCCATAAATTTAGCATCAATCCCAAAAATCTAACCCTAGCTAAAATCCTCCTACTTATCCAAAATAAACTGTTTTTTTAATAGTTTTTTAATTTACTGACTTGGAGATAACTGATACCAGTTGTTAGAAATAGGGATGTGGAAATACTGAATTCAATGCCAAACCCCTATCCGGAGGGTGCATGTCACATATTAATCTTTAATCTCTCTCTCTCATTTCTACCAAACCAACCAAGCACAACCTTAGTGCATTTGGATTCTCAGATTCAAACTGGTTTTTGGGTTGCTTGGTTTTAGGAATATGGATTAGTCAAACTTACCAAATACATGTTTTAATTAACAGTTATATAAGTTATGCGGTTGAACCTTTCAGCCAATGAGCCACTGACTAAAATAGTTTTATCTGTTTATGTCTGGTCCGCATCTGACAAAACTAGACAGAAATAGGATATTAAGCACAACACGTCAACACCCATTTAAGCATCATCACAACGATTGAGATCGATGGAAGAAACTCCATTACAACAATCATGCCAGACTAGCTCCTTCCCTTTCCCTCCCAATGCTGCAGTGCAATACGTTAATGTCGTAATGGGAGAAGTTGATTAGGGCGTGCAAGAGGCAATACTACTTTCTCCTCTCTCACGATGAAAATTACTCTGTTTCTGTCATCGGCCAGAACCCAGATGTTGAAATGCTTGCTTTTTACAATTTCTTCTCTTCTCCAAACCATTTGCTGAGACAGCCCCAAAGCTCTTTTGGACTCGGCAAACAAAATTTGCTCACTAGCCGTTACTTCTGGGCTGGATGGGTCGGTCATCTACCAGTTCTCCTCCCGAGGGCAGAGAGAAACCCAAGATCAGCTCTTTATTAGAAGAAGACAACGCTGTATAAGCTAATCCGTGGCTGGGGAATTTTGCCTGAAAAGAAGGGTCGTCGGTGAAGGCAAATCAAACACAACACACGCAACCTTCACGAGTGTGTCTTATTCGTACGCAGCGAAACGATCGTAGTTTGTCCTTTCATCACAGGTCCCACTTTCCACGTTTCTTGGTTTCATGCAGCCTGTGGGTGTGGGAGCCACTTCATTGATTCTTCAACGTTTCTTTCCTGCCTTCTACTTGTTGAAAACTCATTCGTTGTTAAGCCCATATTTATTCTGAGATAGAGATAGACCCTAGACCCAACAAAATTTGAAAAGACCATTCAATGGGTGGGGCCATCTCATCCACTTTTTGAGTCATCTTTCTCTGCCAAGTGCCGACTGAATGAATTGATCCGTTGATGAACAGAAATTATAGGTCATATACACAAAGCCAACCAACCTGATTAACATTACTTTGTACCCTTTCTGGTCTTTTGTTTATAACGTTAGGGAGAGTGAGAGAGAGAGAGAGAGAGACAAAGAGAGATCATTTTTATTTGGAAGTAGACAAAACTTTAGATTGTTATGGATGATTCGCTATTGATCAAACCAGATCAATGACATCAAGACGTATGAACAATACCCATATATAAAATTGAATAGCCAAAACCCAACATCTAATTAACTGTTTAAGCAAACAAACCAAAAATTAGTTCCACAAAATAAATCCCTGTAATTAGTCATGATCCTAGTAGATGCAAACAACGCTACCCAAAACCATGCTTGCTACGAGTGAAACACTTGAAATCATCAGAAGCGAGGACGTAAGAGCCGGGGAGGATGAAGGAGCAGGTGCTGGTGCAAGATCCGACGGAGTATCACCCTGCGTTGGTGTCTTGCCTGCTGGGGTGGCCACTGGAGTTTCAGCTTGAGGAGGAACCGGCGACGAGGGTGTCAAGGGAGGAGATGCCTTAGGAGATGGAATCGGTATGTAGGATGAAGGAGAAGGCACTGGTGTCAATGACATTGGAGGGGATGATATGGGTGTATAGGCTGGCGATGGAGACGAAACGGGAGTCTTGGCCACTGTTGGAGCCGGCGATATGGGTGTCCATGCACTCGGAGATGGTGAGATGGGTGACATTGCTGTGGGTGGAGATGACGTCGGGGTTCTAGCCACAGGAGATGGGGATACGGGTGAAATGGCTTTTGGAGGAGGAGAAACCGGAGACAGAGCCACCGGAGAAGGTGACATGGGTGACATTCCTTTGGGTGGAGACGACGTGGTGGGTGAGTGAGCCACTGGAGATGGCGACACAGGTGTGATCGCTTTGGGAGGTGAGGATGTTGGAGCATTGACAACAGGAGATGGTGATGTGGGAACCATTGCTTTGGGAGGTGAGGACGTTGGAGTACCGACAACAGGAGAGGGTGATGCGGGTGCCATGGATTTGGGTGGAGACGAGGTCGGAGTTTGGGCCACAGGAGATGGTGACATGGGTGTCCTCGACTTAGGTGGTGGAGATGAAATCGGCGTTTGGATCAGAGGCGATGGTGACACAGGTGCTGTTGCTTTGGGCGGAGAGGCTGATGGAGCTTCCACAACAGGAGATGGCGAAACGGGTGTCTTAGCTTTGGGTGGCGAGGCCGTCGGAGATGGGGAAGGAGTTGACGGAGATGAGTGAGGACTACGTGCGTAGGGAGTGCTGTTCCTCACAGCCAAAACAACGACGATCAGCCTCTGACCCTTCTCACAACTACCTGGATTGCCACTGATGAAGAAGAAAGAACCCGATCGGTCAAACTTGAACTTGGAATTACCATCTACCATACTCATTATCGGTGCCGATGTATTGCAAATGTAGTAGTGTTCTGGACTCACAACCAATACAGAGTCTGCTCCATTCTTGTATTTAAAAACTGCAAAACAACAAAACCCCAGAAATCAAATCGGATAACCCATAAAAAAAAGGAATACAGAAAGTAGAAGAGAATCAATGAAAAATGATAGAGTGTGTCCGTGAGAGAGAGATTACCAAGCGTATCATTAACTTGAAACCTGCTTCTTTCAGCCCAGTGATTGTAGTTCTCAGAAGGATTTAACACCCATCCATCTTCCCCACCAACATAGAAATCATTAGCTTGAGATGAGAACATCTGAGAGCCCATAATGATCACAAATAAAAAGCTGATGAATATCCTGAGCTCCATTCTATGCCCTGAAGGAAAGAACAAGAAGATCCCACAATGGAGATCCAGAGAGGAGATTGATAAATGAGGGAAAAGAGAAGGAGCTTTGCAGAAAACACTCACAGACAAAGCTTTATAGCAGCAAGACAAGATTGGAAGGGAAAGACTGAGAACTAGAGTGCGAGACAGTATGAGAGCTATGGTGGATTGACATATATAGATTCATAGACAGACTGACTAATGAGGTTACCGTTGTAATGGTTAGAAAACCTCAGCGTCATACGCGGTACGTGTAATAAATCGGCTGCAATTTTCTAGGGATTTTATTTCTTCAATTTTTGGCATTTGGTTAATTACAAAAAGGAAACAGATTTAGAGTCATAGATAGATAGTAACAATTTATTAATTATTTATTAAAATTGTAGTAATTAGGCTTAGATGGAGCAAGGGCTCAACGGTCATATTCATTTTCCCTGGCTTTTTCATTCTGGTCTGGATATCTTTGTGGGTGTTGTGTAATTATTAGTGATGTCCTTTAGAAAGACAAGTTCTTTGAAAAAAAAAAGTTGATTCTTTTTTCTTTTTTGGACTTTTCTTTATTAATAATAACAATATTAAACAAAATCCACACAATAAAAATGCTAATTTTCACTAATAAGCTTGATTAGAAAAGATGTAAACATTAATAGGCTAATTTAATTTTGTAATTGCTAATTAGGAGGAGGAAATTAAGATAGTAACGGCAAGCTATTCTTCGGAAATTATTTTAAACGACTTTTGTAATTTATTTATATCTCCAAAATTAAGGCAATTACATGCTTCTAATTAAGAAGCAATTAATAGAGTGCTAGAATTAGAAACCCTCATTAGACCCAAAATGAAATTTGGGCTCAAACCCACCAAAAATTGATTTTGGGTCTAACGAGGGTTTCATTCATTACGCAAAAGTTGGGTTTGGGCTTTGTAAAAACTGAAAAGAAGAGAAAATAGAAATAAATATTTGAAGGATATTCTTATTCTTTCTATAATGACTCAAACATGGAAATGGAAGTCCCATCAGTGATCAGTCCAGCTCCGCGTATCCCATCCAGTATGTGCCAAAGGTGACTACTGAGTGAGTGAGATTACAAATTTGCACACAAATACCACCGTATTCCGTATATTTTGTTCTCCGGTCCTCGTCTTCTAGTGCAAATATAAGGTTTTTTGCACCCACATCTGCACCGTACACGTGGAATATTTTAGCCAACGTTGGTGAGACAGTAAAAGCAGTTCAGTTCATGTATATTTTTTTACAGTGGGCCTGGGCTCTGGCCTCTGGGCTAATACGAGTAGGTGACGCGTAGGGGGTAACCGAACCCGCGTGAGGAGGATTGAGGCTGACTGCGTGTGGCCTTGCAAGCAAGAGCCCAATTGGGCAACGGCCTCTCTTATTCTAAATCTGATCTAGAATTAGAAAGAGAAAGAGAAGTATCAGAATTCAGAAAGAAAGAAGAGACCCACCGACCACTCCATGGTTAGAGTAATTATGAGAAAGGAGAAAGAAGCTTTCCTTAATTATTGGCTTGGGGCCCTTGGCCGTGGCCCTGCCCCATGGCGCCCTCGTGATTTTAAAATGTCTTGTTGTTTCAACGGTCATTTGGGTGGCATCACCTCTTATCTCTACCACGGTCGACGGCCTTTGAGGCCCTTGACCCAGTCAGTCGGATACTTGTCTAACTCCAACTGCCACACTCTTTTCGGTCAAGGGTGACGTGGCTAATATACACCACTCAATAATGTAGGAATCAGGAATTCACATCTGTGCACCATAGAGGGCGCCCCACAATATATCCCAACCGTGCATTGGAAACATCTCCCACTTACAACTTCATGAGATGTTTTCAATGCACGCTGAGATGTGCACGTAAGGCGTTTATAGGGTGCAGATGTGATCTCATGGATCAGCGACCAATAAAACATTCCAACAGCCTTATTTCAGCTGCACATTAGAAACATCTCTTAATCGTTTATTTATGGGCAAATGTTCTCGATGTACGACTGAAATGGTTGGTTGGTATGTTATTGGGACAGTGTATTGGTAAACTGATCAGAATTCATTCAAATTCAATAGATAGAAAAACACAGGTCCATATTGAGCCCAGATCTCTTGTAAATAAAAAACTCTGCACACATAGATGTTCCCGATATGTGGCTGGATTCTCATGCTTCCAGGACATGTACAAAGTTTTTTTCAGGGAATTCGGTTGTGGTCTAGATTGGCCATGTTCTCAATTCTATCCCTGTCATCACTCGTCACTGTACCCTGCTTTGGTACAATGATGTAAATCTGTGTCCTTGGGGCCATATTTATATCTATTTTATTTCTACGTTGAAAAATGGAAAAACCTAGTTTTGGCAATAAAAGTCCAAAAATATAATTCACATTTACAGGTTGAAAGGAACAAAATTTTGCCCCTTTTGTAGTGAAAAACAAAGAGCATAGGAGTCACTTTTGTTTTTTCGCTCTAAAAAAAGAGAGAATGTTCTTGGTTTTAAGTTTTCAATCCTGGTTTTCATACACGAATTGGTAATGAAGAATTGTAGTCAAGTTCAAAGTATTGGTACGTATGGTATCAGGGGATTTATGATACACCCTTACAAGGTGTGTTTCGGAGTCCTGACCGGTTCAGAGGGTGGACCGGCGTATAGATACGCCCTTAAATTGGCCCCTCTGAACCCTATTCAAAAAATAAAATAAAAAAGACTATTGGTGCTTCCTGATACACCACTACCGGCGTATAGATATTTTAAACCTTGGTTGTAGTTTAATTAGAATTAAAAGTTTCTTATGAAAGGTCAAAATTGCCCTAAAATTCGATCTGCTCCTCAGTCACATCCTATATATTATTAACATCTCACATGAATAATAAATATAAATACAGATGTTCCTGATATATGACCAGAACATGCTGTGAGGAGCGCTCAGTGAGAGCAGATCCGAACTCCTTTAAAAGGTCACAGCTTCCTTTAACAACAGATTAGTAAGATAAAAAATAATCGGGCTATTTTGGTCTTACAAATATTCATAAATTTGATAACTTATTTAAAATAATAAAAAAACAAACTTAGTAAAAATTAAACAATTTGAGGATTTTACAGTAAAACCAAAGAAAAGGAAAAGTCAGTGAATTTAAAAAAAAATGATTCCTTTTTATTAAAGAAAAAAAAAAGCAAAAGATATGTTGGTAAGTTGATTGAAGTACCTACAAAGATAAAGGACTCGATTTAACTTGAGAATATGAGTCGTTGACTGTCGAATGGGTCGGGGAATAAAGAATTGTTTTCACTATATTTGCATAAGCTCCTAATCATGCCCATAATTTCTATTTCTCTTCAATCTTTTTTTCTTCCTTTTTTCAATGAATATTTTCTCAAATTCAAACCCATTTTTAGAGATACCGGTGAGTAGGGTTAAGTGATAACATTGCACTGACCCAATCCCCGATTGGGCTAAGATGGGTTAGCCTTGATTGGGTTCGATGGTTAAACCCAATCTATTAATAAATATTTACAACCATAAGCTTAATTGAATATATATATATATATATAAGGTAAGATTATTCACATCATTCATGTTCTTCTTTCTTCCTTTTCCCTTTTTATATTTTCTTTCACTCTTTCTCTGATGGAGGGTGATTTGACCTGACCTCCTGACTAGGTGACACGTGGACATGACTCAATGTAAGTGACAGCTCAGCATGACAGCCTGGCTTCAACTCGGCGTAATGAGCTCGCTAAAACCCAGTCTAACAGCTCACCACCAAACAGCTCGCTACAAGGCAGCTCACCACCGGGCAGCTCACTACAAAGCAGCTCGCTACAAGGCAGCTCGCTACCAGGCAGCTTGCTACGAGACAACTCGCTATTGAGCAATCCAAGGGTTGTGCTCGTTAGACTGCTCCCACGTCCCTTGTCTGACAGCGCAGCACCTGCCACTCCAGAGGGTTGCGCCCACATCTCTCATCAGGCGGCGGCATGCCTGCCAGTTCCGAAAAACGTCTCTCGACTGATAGGGCCGTACTCTGTGACGGTTACCTGCGCCCACTTACTCAGCCCTGGCAAATAACGGCTACAACAAAGAATCAGAGGCGGTTACACCCGATTTGACAGGGCATTAATATATAAGGACTCCAACTCCCAAGGAAAGGGGTAATCGAAAATTGCGCATCTTCACTCTTAGCATTTATTTCTTCGCAACTCTCTCAGTTTTCCGCCAAGTTCTAACTTAAGCATCGGAGTGTTCCCACCGGGCAAGCTCCTCGGGAATCCTTCATCCTCTTCTTCTTCTCAGGTACCGTCCGTCGCCAGCTTGGAGTGTGGTCCCCTGCCAGATAGGAGTGCTCAGATTGTGCACCATCACTCTCCTTCCTCCATTTTACTTAATAAAGGACGCTTTCATCTTAAATATAAAACTTAGGGAGATTTTACAAACGGCATTGGGTTAATTTGTCCCTAAAGCCCTACCTTTTCCTCATTTCCATTCCCTCTCTTCCCCCATTAACCGGCTTGACCAGATTGTAACCATTAACCAACTCTCATTGGAAAATTTAAATCGAGAACACCTGGGGGTGAATAAACCGTAGAAGCATAGAGTTCCTCTTCCTCTTTTTGTCTCACCCCCTTCTCCTCTTCATTAGCATGACCATCGAAGGTTTGACGCAAGGTTCAAAGTATCGATACACAGGTGTATTGGTATTTTTTAGGTTTTATTTATTTTTTACGAAATCGATTTAAAGAGATCGATTTAAAGCTCGGTTACCCTCTGAATCAGTGTCTGACCCAATATAACCCCTGAAGGGGTGTATCAGAAAGCCATCGGCACGATACATATGAACCTTGGTTTAATGTCGTGATTGGCTCCTCTCATCACCCATTGCAAGCATGCACCAAATACTTGAGAGTTGAGACCTGCTGTGCAAAAAACCATTCATTTTTTATAAAGTTTCCCAAGTATTGACCCTACTCAAATAACATTTTAATATATTTATTATAAAATCTCTCTAAGATGTTGTGGGTTCCACTAATCACTATTTGTATTAATGTTGAAATTTGGCAAATACTACGGTAAGAAGATGAGTCAAGAAAATATAAATTTTTACTTACCAATTTGAATAAATCTTGATTGACTAGTTTGGTCTTCTAAATCTATAATACAAAT